AAATTTTTTTTTTTTTTTTTTTTTTTTTTTTGTAATTTTGGAGAAAAAAAAATGGCATTCTATGAGGGTAGCATGAGTAATTTTTTATTTACCTTTTTTGTGAAGCAGTTTGCTTACCTTATATGCTGTTGTTCTGTTGTGTTATATACTGGTGATTATTTTATAGTTTTCTTTTATTTCTTTGGAAAAGGGACGGGATACCTTCGAGTTTGAGCTCCTGGTCTATGCTTTCCCTTTGAGAAACGGGTTTTGGTTTTTTGGTTATGCTTTTGAGGGCTCCTGTAATCTGATATCCTCAAAATATCTGCTTGTTTCATTGGGGAATGGAACCTTAATACATTTACCAAAATTGGGATATTTAATGTATATCTAAGTTTAATAATATGGTCTAATAATAATTGTACTTGCCAACTGGTGTTGATTTAACTAGCAAGGATGAAAGTACTTCGCTTGAAAGGGTTACGTAATTTTCCCCCTCACGTCTTAACTTTGTTATGTTCCAAAAGAATGTTTTTCTACTGCAATGCTAATCATGATAAGGTTTTTCAAATCGTAATAGTAATGCATTGACATTATGATCAATAGTCTCCATTGCCTCACTAATTTATCACAACTCTGGTGGGTGTTCCCAACCAATTTGTACTGCTTAGATAATCATTAAAGGATTCGAAGTGATCAGTGGTTTTGAAGATTGGATGATTATTCCTATGATGCATATGAGAAATTATGATGGTACGGGAGCCTATGGAATTTTATTCAACGAAAGTTTTACTAATAGCAATAAAATTATGGCATTTCCTTTTTCATTCTATATGCTATATTGTCTTGATGAGATCTTGTACCATATGATTCAAACAAACAACTATCCTGTCAAGTTTGTTACACTTAGGAAGTGTGAATATGCATGGGTGTGTCATTTTCATGTTGAAATGCTGCCCATTTATACTATGCCAAACATTGAATTGGAAATAAACATTTGATCATTCAATGTAAATCATGGGCAGGCCCTTAAAATCATGTCTTATTATTGAGAGGTTTGATTTTGGGTAATAGATCTTAGGTTGTACATTGCAAAGAAGAAATATATTAAGGTAGAACATATTCTTCACAATTATAGCTATATTGTAACACTTTTCTTCTCTCTTTTTTTTTGGCAGGAAGGTATTTGTTCCTCTATGGTTTTTTCATGCTGTGGTATCAAGAGGCAGATTTTCCTTGCCTGCTCCTTCATTGCCTCATGATCGCCGAGTAAGATATGCTTCTTGAAAAATCTTCTCTGTTTTGTGGAAAATTAGAAATTTATCCTGTAGTGGGTTTTTGTTACTAATGTAAAATAATTTTTTTATGGGCAGTGGGCTCCTTGTCATTCGGTCGTAGCAACTCCACTACTTGTTGCATTTGAGCTGCTTCTTTGTATACATCTCGGGAGCACTTATGGTAGGCAACATTTTCTTGTGGCACAACCATATGGATTTTATTGACCACTGTATCTTCTAACCAAGATAAACTGTGACACTTATTCTATAAGTTAATCACTTGTAAGATGCAATCAAATTAAATATCATTCATTGTAATGATACAGGGATGAATTTAAGGATTGTCTTCCTGCCCCTCATAGCTTTAGAATTCGTGATTTTGTTTGATAACATCAGGTAATTATCTTGTTCAGTTGTCCCATTTATAAGCTTACCAAAATTTCTATTCAATTAGTTCATTAGGAACTTGCAGATATATTTCAACTCATTCAGAGTACTCCATCTTCTTTAATATTAGCTGGAACTGTCTGAAAATAAAATAAAAAACTGGCAACAGAATCACCACAAACATTCAACTTTATCAACTGATTCATAAAGTGACTTGCATTTTTGGGTCTGCTTTCAACCAATAATTTTGATAGTTGAGAAATTTCACAACTTAAAAGGTTTTTGATAGCTGAACTTTGTGTCTATGCATGCTTATGCCCGAAGTTGATAAATTATGCAAGCTGTAATACTATTTTATTCTCTTCTAATAAATGGACATATTACTGACAAAAATGGTTTTTCATAGGATGTGTAGGGCTTTGATGCCTGGAGACGATGAAAATTTGACAGATGAAGCAGTATGGGAAACTCTTCCGGTAAGATATTATCCATTAGTTGATTAATTAATTTAATCTATAGTATGATCTTTTAATAGACTAAAATAAGGCCCCTTAATGAAACAACTGAGGCACCTCTATTGGCATTTGCTTGGCAATTTAAAATACTCAGATTTGATGACTTTTAAGTAACATTTATTCAAATCCCTGATGATTTTTCAAGTGTTATTCTTGTAGTCTAGAGAGATGAGGAATGTGTAACAGCAATAAGATTGTTATTATATCCACAATTTAAAACCGTTGATGTGTATAGCCCTGTGGTTGTAAATTATGCTTAATTTTGGTTGAAATGCATTAGTAATCAAAATTCAAGTCTCTTTGTTATTTTGCTTTACTGAAAGTAAAAGAAAAAAGAACCTTCAAGTACTATAAAATATAAAGAAATTGTAACTTTCCTTATATAAGTTGACAGCTCTGATGAATCTATCTGTAATGTATATATGATACTGATACTTTCCTTTCGTTGAGGTGATCTTCTAATATTCATGTGCTTGCTTTTTATCTCTTTCTCTTTCCTGCATTACGAGTAATGATGTGCAGGGAGGAAAAGGAGGATTCAGTATCAATATCTTTTGTTCTCATCTTAATAATCGACAATACCTTATTCAAAGACTTGTCTACTAGACTACTATAAAGAAAATTTAAGTGTTTCACTCTGTATATTATTATTATGTGATCTTTTATTTGTTTTTATTTTCCAAAAGTTCAATACTAAATTGTATAATTCTTTTTTCTAGCACTTCTGGATTTCAATATCCATGGTCTTCTTTATTGCTGCAACAGTGTTCACCCTTCTAAAGATATGTGGTAAGTTTTAATTTTCTCTTAAAAACAATTGTTGATCATGTAATGAACTTCTATTCAGTCAAATTTCAATGTTACCTTCGAGCTTCTTCTTACTATTGTAATATAACTTTATCATTCCCCACCATTTCTTGAGCTCTCTACTTGGTTGTGATGTCGGTTAATATTTCACAACATTTTGCCATGATTTATGAAACTGACTCTTTTTAATATACAGATATTAGCTGTCAACACACTATTATCGGGCAATGACTTTATTTATCTAATGAAGAATTTAGGAAATTAACTTTTGATGGGGTTTTATTTCGGAACTAAGGTGTTCTTACATTAAAACTCAATAGATGCTTTTCCAAAGTAATTTTGCTAGTTATGTATTTAATTCCCTGTTTGGTTGGAATTCAACTATTGTAGTTGATATTACGAAATTTTTGGGGAGTGAGAACGGGGATTAGAGTTTTAAATAATCACTCTTGTCAAATAGTTACGGTTCTTATTTTGTCATTGTGATCAAGAGATGTCCCGAGTTATTTTCATTGATACATAAATTAGATGAAGTTTATTTGTTCCTGAATTTACACCTTGCACTCAGGCTACGGATAATAATTGCAAAAAAAAGTCAAAATACTTTAAACACAGATCGAAGGTATTTGTCACAGTTTAGAACTAAGAAATCAATCTTCCATATTTTGAAAATCAATTATATAGTTTTGAAGGTATTTGTACAATATTGAAGAGTACAAGGAGACAAGTATCCGGACTAGGTTGTGTTCCATGAAATACTTCAATTAATACAAAGATACTAATAAATAGAACATCCTGGAGTAAGAGCATATATTCAAACAGTTATTTATTAACAGAACTGAAAAGAATAAATAATTATTTTCCCATGTATTTCTATCACACTGCATGCATCTATACATGTTTAGGGTGAGCTGTATTTTCTTTTTCTTCTATCCTTCCAACAATGAGGATTGATCAAGATGTCTTAGAAAAACAAGGTTGTCAAACAAGTGTGACCAAATATATACTGTCTATGTTTGATTTGCTCACGGTATGGCTTCATGCTGTTGTGTGTTACTTAGATTGCATCCTTGACAAATTTCACTGTTTGATGTGATTGATACTCCTCAAACTTTTTGTTACTAACTTTATTTCAATTACCTGCAGGCGATGTTGCTGCTCTAGGCTGGTGGGACTTATTTATTAACTTCGGGTATAATCAATATCTTATGATAGACTGTTAAGTATTCGGCATTAGTCTTGTGCCTTTTCCTTCACAAAATCCTTGTATTCTTTTGCAGCATTGCACAGTGCTTTGCGTTTCTTGTTTGTACAAAGTGGCACAATCCAACTATTCATGGGGGCTGTCACATTACAGAACCGTGTTCATCATCAAATTCCATAAGATATCTTGACTTGAGTAGAGAAGGCTTAGTTATTTACGCAGATGAAGATAGCCAGCAAAATGGGTTCTGCAATCTGCAGGATGTTGGTGGGCATATTATGAAAATCCCATTCATTGGTTTCCAAATACTTCTTTTTATGCATTTAGAGGTATGATAGTTGCTAGCAAAAATCCTGTCATTATGTTCTTGGAATTTGTAGGTTTTCTGTTTTTGATTTTCTTTCCTCCTTTTTTTCATTTAAATTTTAGGGAACACCATCCGGTGCAAAAAATATGCCGCATTGGGTCATTTTTTCCCCCCTATTTTTGTTGCAAGGAGCTGGAGTTTTATTTGCAGCATATAGATTAATAGAGAAGATAGTTCTTTTACTCTATAGTGGAGATATTCCTGAAAGATACTCAGCTATAGCATCAAAATCCCATGAGTGCTTTGGGTTCTTTCAACGTGGGTCAAGGTATCAGTTTAGATCTGTTTGGCTAGAAAAAAGAAATATATCTTTGGTAGATTCTCTACTGAACTTAGAAAAACTCCAAAAGTTGCTGAACTGACATGGACAGTTTGTCATTGCCTGCACTTCCCCCTTCTTAACAGGTTGCTTGGTTGGTGGTGTATAGATGAAGGGAGTAAAGAGGAAGAAGCTAGACTTTTTTGTGCTGAGAGTTCTGGGTCAGTACTCTACCCTACATTATGGCTTCATATTGCATATCTTCAATGTCATAAGCCATTGTTTGCCATGCTCAAGAACTTTATCCTGGGACCTAGTTATAACTTGCATATCCTTCTCTTGGAAGTCTCAAGTTGTATAACGTAACAATTATTTTTTTTCTAAAATTAGCAAATTTTTCTCCTTGTTCGGTTTCAAAAATAGAATTGTGGAGATCTTGTTCAATTATTTATCAGTGATAGTTATTGCTGTCATGTTAACAATTGGAGTGTGGTTGCAATAAGATGAGCTTTATTCTTTCTCTTTATGCTCTCAAGTGGCTCTCATGACATTAAGTATTTTCCCTTTGTTTAATTGCTATTTTCAACAATAAATAATGTTAATCAAACTTTTCTCTAATGATGTGATTTGATTTACTATTTAGGTATAATACTTTTACCCCTGACACGGTGAAGAAAATGCCTAGAACAGATCTGGTTGAGGAGGTGAATATGTTTCCTTATATCAAAATATGTAGCTACCACATTATTTTTTATGTTATGGCTTATTATTTAAGACTACCTTAGTTAATTCAATTACACGAGCAGGATTAATCTTTTTATACATTTCAATAATCATAGTTCTTTATAACTCAGATATGGAGACTACAAGCTGCCCTGGGTGAGCAAACACAAGTTACAAAGCTTAGCCAGGATGAGTATGAAAGACTTCAAAATGTATCATTCTCAACTTTGATTGATTATTCTTGGCATTATGTATACGTGAATCACCAAATCTTGGCTGTTTAAGTAGTTAATTAGTTTAGTACATTATCAACTTTTTATCCAGTATTATCTTTAATTCTTAAGTTTCATTGGTCAACTGAGTCCTGCTAGAGTGTGTTTTTTTTTGTTGGGAAGGTGGTAGGATTCATACTGTTTGTCTTTATAACTGGTTTATTTTTACAGAATAGTTTGAAAGTCATTGAACTGGGTTATTAAAATTTAATTAAAATGGCATGTGCCTTAATTATTCGTTTTTTTATCTGTGACTGATTGAATTGATTCTGATCCTTTAGTTTCATGCTTTATTTATAAAGGCAACCTTTGTCTCTTTTAAATTTTTGGTTTATTGCCTACTTTTTAAAATATGGTAGAAGTAAATCATTTAAAAGAGTAAGACAGGTATCTCAATTAAAATTTGGCATTATACGACCCCCTATTAAAGCGGGGAAAAATGTGTTGCACTTGTTCGGTGAGGGGGACCAGCACCCACAATCTTATCCAATATGTATGTTTGAAGGCATGCTTTATAGTACAGAAAAATATATTTGTGAGCCAGATGACATTGGCATATACGAGTTATGTGCAGCCTTTGCAACCCTTTTGCTATTAAAAGCAGTTTACATAATCTTCTTGTACGAACATTCTTGTTAAATTTGTTGATTGATTTTGTTCATTGTTTGTGCTTAAATGACTAACACTCGTCAAATTGAATTATAAATCTATCAGGAAAAGATCTTATGTAGAATTTGCTTCGAACAGCAGATTAACGTGGTCCTTCTTCCCTGCAGACATCACGTTCTTTGCAGGTAAAGAGCCCATGCATTGATCCAGTCTGATACTCTTCTGTCATTATCCTGTCCACATAATGCAATTAATTTTTCCAAACCAAGAGTCAAGCCCCAAAAGGGAATTCTATGGGAATGGGGTCATTTGGTTTGAGAATATTTTTTCTGCTTTTATTTTCATTGTTTCCTGTTTAAACTTTTTTAATGTAGGAAACAAAATGAAAATATGGTGGCATTTTTATCACTAAAAGTAATTAATTAAGAATAGAAAATGTTTTCTGAAACCAAATGATTCCATAGCTATGTTTGAATCAAAAAGATAGTAGCAGTATCACCGTTTATTAAGGAAATTTCCAGCAGTGTGCTCCTTTTGTAAAGAATCTATATATTAAATTGCATGCAAATATCTTATCAGAGGCTTGTGTTTATACACATTGATTGTTTCTTTTTTGCCTTATGTGGATAACAGCACTTGCTGCGAAAAATGTAAAAAGTGCCCTATCTGTCGTGGCCCCATTGAAGAAAGGATGCCTGTATATGATGTGTAGATTGAGTTCAATGAAGAGGTATAGGTATCTTACTGACAATCCAGCTTGTGATTTTAGACTAGGCAAGCACCGAGAATTATCAATTTCTCTGCTCATACATAGATATGATGAACATCAGAAGTTGTATATAAAATTTTAAACATCTCCCCCCTCCCCTCTTTATTTCTCCCATAGTGCATTCTTGCAATTCTGAAAGGATTGCCAATAGTTGCATTGTTTTGAATTTTGTTACTGTGAGGATTTATCAATACCAAAAATGCATGATGATTATTGAACCCTATATGACCTATGAATACCATGCGGGGTCCTATTTTTAGCTTTTCTCCATGTGTGAGTGAGATGTTTCCATAGCCTTTTATCCTAAGGAGCATATATCCCTACACTTGAACAAGGTTCATTAGAAAATCAGCCAAATTCAAAAGATTTTGGACCTCGGTTGGTCCACCTTAAATATGTTAGTATAATCTATGATGATGAAAGTTGCTTTGAGTTAGTATATCTATTCAATTTGCAACTTTTCACTTTAAACTAATTTCTTGTTTCTAATCCTACTATATTTGACTGACGGATAGCAACTAGCAAGCGTATAAGGCAGCCAATCTGTTATTATCTTTATAGCTGCAACAGTGCCCAACACTCAACACTGAACAGTGCCCAACACAGTATATTACGTTACTATCCACAAACTGCGCAAATCACGGTACTTGTGGGGGCCGCAACTACATAGATTCTTTGTGATCTCTTTATATTTTCTTCTACTATTGTTTCCTAAGAAAAAAATATATATGTGTGTGTAAAGACTAAAACAATTTAAAAATACATGTTTAAAGACTAAAATAAATAATTTTAAATAATTAAACATTATTTTTATTGTCCAAGTCCAAAATTATACAAACTAAAACAAAATATAAAGAAAATATGTGTAAAGACTAAAACAAGTTATTTTTACCACACTAATCCCTGTTTCTAATTATTTTTGTTCCATTTCCAATACGAAATTCAGATGTCATTGCTGCAACCAGTGGATACAGGAAACAGCAAATTAAATCGAGTTAAGTGAGAAGGTAGGGTCTTATTGATTATATTTTGACCATTTACACTATGCAGTTATGACTATATCCCAAAGATGAGTCCTCCTGCAGTACCACAAACATATTTCATATATATAGATTAGTTCCAAAAACAAAGTACTCTTTGATCGATAATAATGATTTAACCGGTTTTTTTCTTTTTTAAGTATGCGTATAGGTCGAATAATTTGGATAATTACTCATTGAATATGATTGATAAATTAAATAAGTTAAATTTAAACTAAAAATTGAACTTAATAAATAAATGAGTCGAATTTGAGTTATATGTAATTCAACTCGTTTAGTTCATAATTTAGATTAACATAAAAATATATTATTTATATATTGATTTTTTATTTAATTTTAATTTATTAAAATTTAAAAGAATCTTGAAATTTTAGTTATAAGTCACTAATAACAAAAGAAATAGGTACCTTAGAGTTTCATGGTTATAGATTGAGTTTTATATTATTTAATACAATATGGAGTAGTTTTTATTAATGTAAATTTTGGTTGTAATTATATTTATTTGGAGTCATTTTTGTAACATTACAAAGCTAATAAAAATAAGTAATATTTTTATCTTTTCAAAAAAATATTAAATAGTCATTTTTATCTAAACTTAATTGATAAATTTAAATTTTGAAACATATAAGGTTAAAAAAAATTGACTCTTAATTTATGTGATTCAAACTAATGAATTGTTAACAAGTTTAAACTTAGTTGAGTTTGAGCTAATTAAGTCAGTTTAACTCGATTCATTTCTAATTTTAACCCAAAAATTATAATGTTAATGATAAATAATGAAGACTAAATATAATTTTTCATATTTTTATTTAATTTTTCATGGTTAGACCGATTCTAATCAATACTCATAATTTAATTATTTAAATTGACTGAGGAAACACAATTTTTTTACATTTAATATTATAATTAATCACCGATTTATATGCTAATTTATAATTTGTATCCAATAGGAAACTGATAATCTGTCTTGAAAGAGAGATGGAAATAAGGAACAAGAGAAAAACAAAACTTACAAAAACAAATTCTCTCTTAATAAAATTTGAAATAACAAGGTCGTAATCAATTGTGTTGACTTTATATACACCGTGAAATACACTCTCCTCAATAATGTTTGTTGGTGTTAATTATAAATAATTAAATTATTATTTTTAATTTTGAATAACAATAATTAATTTTTAAAGTTTTTTTAATTAAATTTTTTATATATATTTTAATTATTGTTAATTCTATTTTTTTTATGTATTTACTTATAAATAATATTAAATATGATAATCATTTAAAATAAAAAGGTATATTAGAATATAATTTTTAATTATTAAAATATTTTTTAATCTTTAAGTCTCACTTGCTTTATCTTTTAGAATATATAATTAAAAATAGATCATTTTAGTCCTCATATTTATTCTTTTTAATCTTTTTTAGTTTCTATATTTTAAGATAGATATTTTTAATTTTTATGTTTGCATTTTTTTAATTCATTTAGTACTTAATTATCATTAATTTTTTTGTAACGTTATCTATTTTATGTTGACATAGTAGAAATCTTCAATCTTGTAAGAACAAAAAAAAGTATATCAACAATAGGTGTCGTAAATGAGGATACAAAAGAGACACAAAATGTTAAAAAATTTAATTTATAATAACTATATAAATTAAAAAATAAAAAATTGCAAGTATAAGAATAAAAAAAAATCTATCTTAAACTATAAGAACTTTTGACTAAAAAGGATTGAAAAAAGATAATTAAGTATAAGAACTAAAAGGATTTATTTTAAACTACTCTTTCCGTTTTTTATTCATAGTCGTTTTGACATTATTTTTTTGTTCTTTTTTTATTGTTACTTTTCTAAAATGAATCTTATTAATTTTTTTTCATTTTTATCCTTGATAATTAATGTGTGTTTACTAAACAATGTGTTTATCCATTTTTCAATGTATTTATTTCTTCTCCAACTACCTAAATACTTTAAAAAATTAAAATATCAATCATTTACTTAATTCTTGTACATAATCTTAAATGTTAAACAAAAAAAAAACGGAGGAAGTATAAGTGACTATATATATATATATATATATATATATATATCGATTAAGTTACGTTAATTCCATTTTAAAAGTGAGTCAGAAAGTTCAACCTATAAATAAATTGTAGATCAGGTTTTTTTTAATCTATGGAATTGAATTTGATACAAATTTTTTTTACAAGATTTACTCAATTGACTGAGTTAGAATCCTTAATGAATCGAGTTAACCTGTCATAATTTGGGGGGGAAAATAAACTATAGACTAACTTGGGAGTTGATATACTAAAGAGAGTGTATTGAATTAAGATTTTAAAATATCTTTTAGTTAAAAAAAGTCTTACAAATTTTAAAAGATTTTACGAGATTTTTATAATTTTTAAGACTTTGTAGGATTTTGCAAAATTTTAAATTAAGATTTTAATGGATTTTGCAAGATTTTTAAGTTAGAACTTTAATGAATTTTGCGAAATTTTATGGACTTTGTAAAGTTTTGTGGATTTTTGACATACGATAAGAGTTTAAGATTTTTTTTTCATACATTCAAATTTAAAAAGAATGAAAAATAAAAATTAAAAAAACAACAATGTTTGGATAAATAATAATAATAATAATTCTCGGTAATATCATGTCCTACTAAATAACATTGACCCACATATTCATAGCTATACTAGTCCTTCAAGCATTAGCGTCTTCTCACACTTGTTTCTAGATTTGAATAATAGGCTCAAAATTATGATTTTTATTAATCAGAAATGTTGAAGATGAAAGTTTGTCCACCGCTCCAATTGAAAAGTTATTAGAACAACATTCTTTACGGAGAAAGTTATGTAATGTTGCACATGCTAAAAATTATTCTAAACAACATTTCAAATTGTTTATAATTTATTATTTTAAATATTCTATTTATAATTTTATAAATGATTAAAAAAATATTGGGGCAGCTACCCTACTCTCTTATAACTAAATATGTTCTTGCATTTTATATCGATATTTGAGTGAAAGTGTATCTTTCATGCAATTTTATTCATTTAAAATATCTTAGAAATTCACAAACATCAATTAGGAGAAAAAAAAATATATATGAAATTTGTTACAGGTACAAAACAACTTTTTAATTTATTTTTTTTTCAATTATTCACTCGCGAAGAAATATTTTTTGTATTAAATTCTAAGATATCGCAATGTTTTGTGTTAATTTTCTTTTTTGAAATACAAAAAATCATAAATTCATAATATAAAAATATAATAAAATAAAATTTATAGTAAAAAAAAATATAAAATAATTATTGAGTCATAAAAGAAGGAGGGATAACATTAACAAACTCAA